CGCCCCCGCCCCGAGTTCGACGCCGGGCGAGAAACATCCGCCCCCGAGCGAAGTTCAAACCCGCCCTCGCGAAACGGGGCCTTCGGGCGGCGGTGGTTCGCCCGCGCGGGCCCAACCCCGGCGGTATCTTCGCGGCTTTCCCATCCCGCCGCTTTATCATCCCGACCAAATCCTCGGCGGGGGGGCGATGATCTTCCACTGCGTCCCGAGCGCCGTGGCGGCGCGCGTGCTGCCGGCCTCCCTGACAAACGGGGCGGCCGGGGGGGGATAAATCCCCTCGGGGCGAAATGGGATAAGGGAAGTGGACTATTTGCTCATTTGGAATCGATCTATATCTATATAAATATATATATATAGAAAGAGAGAGAGAGAGATCTGTGTGTGTGTGTGTGACAGTCACCGTGTAAACCTTATGTGAGGAAAGACAGAAAATCAATGCAGGAAAAAAATAAAAAATAAAACATGGCGTCGCGTTGTTAGTGGTGTAGGATTGAATCATTGAACACGATGCTTTAACACTCCTTCAAAAAAAAAAACTCCTTTTTAGAAATATCTATAAACCCCCATCAAAAAGAAAAAAAGGTTTATCCATTAACTCTATAGGCGTGTAGGTTGCTAAAATTTAAAATACGAAATAAATAAATAAAAAGAGGGACGTGTCAACCAAAATGCCCCATGCAAAAAGACATGTGGAATGGGATGAGGCCAACTTAAGCGCCAACGCGGAGTACCAACGCCTGCACCCCGTCACCATCCCGATTGACGAACCCAAAACACCCTACGTCTACGAAAGCAGCGATATCATGGCGGAGGAGGAGCCGCCCAATAAGGCCTCGTGGGATCCTTCCACAAACGCCCTGGCGCGCGAGATGAAAGAAAAGATTCAAAGCTCCACCGACCAAAAGCCGGTGGCCCCGATTAGTCGTTCTGGCAGGCCGATGTTGTTGTCCACCGCGCAAACGGACGAGTTTGCGAAGAAGAAGAAAGATTGCGAGTTTGATATGATGCGTCGGGCGGTCTACGCGGAGGAGGGCGTAAAATTCAAGGAAATGCTCGCTCGCAAGCATGACGATACGGACGAGTAAATGGGATAGGGCATGTGGAAAAATTAAAAACAACAACAACTAGCAGTGGTGTCCATGCAAAATAAATGTGGAGTGGAAATAATCACAACGTATCATCGTTGTGTTCTTTGCAAGAAGGAGGTAGATAGACATCCCCATATATATATATATACACGCCCAGTTGAGAAAAATGAGGTGCGCGCATGATGTTAATTGTCTATTTGTTGATCCTAAAGTTATACTCGCTTACTTTTTACTTCGCCATAAAAAAAATAGAGGCAATAACAAACGGAGTGCAAATTCTCAGAATGTAGGATTGGATGTTCTTTTTCTTTGTCGAAATAGAATAATACTTATATATTAGTGTTATTTTGCAGTGTTCAGAATTGCTTAATATCTTCATTTTTTACCTGACACTCGATGTTTTTTACTATTTATGATCTATTCAATAATAATCCCAGAAATAAACAACCCAATTCGAATGAAATTTTCGGACATTTTCGCGTAAACGGAAATATTAATGGAGCATGTTTGCTGGTCTGTTAGCGCATACGATAGTTTTGTGGGGGTTGTAATCTTTCGCTGTGAGGATTCCGCACAGGTAAGTTAGCACATGTGAAATATCTTAAAGTATGATCAAAAAGAAAAAAATACTAACTCCTAAATATTAACCACATCCAAACTGGACCTCAAAAACGTGTATTAGCGTTGTTTTTCTCCCACACGGTGGACGATATTCATTGGGTGCCCCGTTTGTGATGCGAATGCGCTTTGCATCATCGCGCCCTGCCCCTCGAAATGCGAGATCCCGACCCACCTCACCCACACCCATGCAACCTCCACCCATGGACCGCTTCCCATGTCATGGATCCTCTCCCTTTTTACCCCTCATAAAGCAAGCCTCTATGTCTATAAATACCCCTATAGAGCGATCCGATCCGACCTAATTTCTTATTTATTGATTTATTTATTGATCCCGTGTGAAGGCGAT